ACAGGGGTAATTTTAGGATAAGATCTTTATCGTTTTGGAAGCCATTAAGAAAAAAATGCTCTTCTTGTTTTATCCTGTTCATTTTGTGTTTAAATGCTGCTAAAAAAAAAAAAAACATATTTAGGTGTAATTTTGGGGGACCGAGAACCAATGAATTGGTTTTCCAGTGTTTCTTCTGGGAAGAATTCTATCAGAACTCGAACTTTTTAGGATTTGATCCGGAGTCCGGAACGGATTAAGTTCGAGAACCGAGGTACCACTGTATATATATTATGTAAAAATATGATGTTAAAATATTAAAGTAAAAAGGGTTCTTGTATTGAAATTTGTGTCTGTTTTGGAATCAGTTCGAAACTGAAAAATGTGGATCGGCCCATCTCTATAAATTCTGGCACAAATGTGAACTAAATTAAGGTTTTAAAATATTGAATTGAACAATACTGTGAATGTGTGGTTTTAAAAGAAAATAATTATCAATAAGCACTGGTGATTATCCCTTGGTATATCAGTTTTTTTCTCATAAATTTTGGTTATCATACCTCCTAGTAAAATAATCTTTATTGGTATGCATTGTTGCATTTTGAGCTGTTAAACCTGTTTTGATTAAAAATGTATAAAGTGCTGATTTTCTTTTTTTCATCTTTTAGTCTGTATGCCCGAAGAAGGATTTAAAGGTAAGGATGTTGATATATCTGGACTATTACACAGTAGACAGTCTTATCTTATCTGCAAAGGGCCGGTGTGTGTGCGGGTTTTCACTGCAACTCCCTAATTAGATTACTAATTAGAGGACCGATTGGCTGAAGAGTCCTCACACCGAGGTTTGAAAAGCTGGGCTTCAGGTGATCCCAAAAACCTGCATACACACCGGCCCTTTACGGATAAGATTGGCCACCTATGCAGTAGATTATTCCACAGCAACAGGATATTTTTCTAGTTTCATCCCCATTTGTTTTCAAATAAAATGCATGTCTTCTCATTTCACATGAACAGTTTTAATAACACAATTATTTTGTTACGTTAAATCAAGGTTCTGTGTTGAGATTTTTCATAGTTTGTTTATTTTTTTGTAGGTACTGGGCTTCTTGGACACTAAACGAAATTGCCACTCAGTGGAATTCAGCATTACCTTTTGATTTATTTCACAGTGGCAGCTTTATCATTTTTGTTGAGTTGATTTCCAATGTGTGCTTGCTTTCAAAATATCTTCATTCATTATCTAAAACTATAATTGTGCTTCTTATAGCATAAAAAATTAATAAAAAGTTATCTATAGGATTTTTTTCCGTCTCAAAGAGTTGCTGTGGCATTTCAGTTTTACAGGTTCAGTGTAAATGTGGTTTTTACACTTCAGCTCCCACAAGAGCTACAAACATCAAAATACAAAAGGAACTGCATCACATCATTATAAGCTGAATTTCAATTCCTCTAGACCTTCTAAAACTTAACATGTATGTCGCATAAGTTTTTAGCATACTCTACACAGGTCTAAATTAAAAACACAAATTAAGGAAACTTGATTCTGAATCAGAATTTTTTTTAAAATCCTAAATAAAACTGTTTCACTTTTTTAAAATTTCAGCATGGTTTCTTATGCTCCCAACACTGCAAGAGCTACAAACAATCAACAAAATGAACACGTTGGAACAAAGACAATTATCAACACAAATCTATAGTATAGACCTTAATTTATTGATTAATATTAATCATACCATGGATCACAATAGAAATGTTGTAGCAAGCACAACATTATTTACACAGCCCAGTTTTCAAGACAGTCATAAAACCTTTATCAGAATAATGTGAATTAGGGAAGCACATAACATAATTTGCCAGTTGAAATTGAAATTGTGGTTTCTTACATTTCAAATCAGAGATACTAAAATAAAAAATTTATGGGAAATACTTTGCGAAATAAACACTTTTCAGACTAGACACACATCACAATGTGTGATGTCATGCACATGCAATTGTCATAACACAAGGACCACAATAGTCAACTGGGTTGAGATTAGGCTTGGGTAGTGTCCAATCTTTTAAAACTGGACATTATACTGCATTATACTTAATTTTCAAGAGTATTGCTTCTTTGCAATACGGTTTCTTATGCTACTGTTGGTCCCCCACAATAACAGCAAGTATATTATATATTTTTTAATTAGATGAAGTTAAAACCGTAGACAAATGGGAAACTCATAATACACTCACCTAAAGGATTATTAGGAACACCTGTTCAATTTCTCATTAATGCAATTATCTAATCAACCAATCACATGGCAGTTGCTTCAATG